TATACTCATTTTATGGCAGGGGTGACAACAGGTTTTTATGAATAAACTGTTGGATCATTCTGAAAGACACCCAAAATGGAGTCTTACCCTATCTTGTCCTTTGCTTTCTTGCTGAACTATACTAAAAAAATCTTGAAAGGTTCTTTAAGTTGTAAATAACCAGGGTTTTGGGTGCTTTTTTTTTATTTAAAACATTTTCCCTATGAATAGTAATATAATGTATTGGGTAGATTCATAAGAAACATGAGTCCTTATTACCTTTTAGATACTTTATCTTTTAAACTTTTTAAAGAACTTTTAAAATCAAAGTTTGAATAATTTTAATTCATATAAATGTTTAACTGTTATTTACTTTTTGAAAAAAATCATAAATTCATAACATATTAGTCCTACAAACATATCCCAAAAAAGTATAGCAAATAGGAAATACACAATGATTTAGTTATCAAGATGATTAGGTAATGTGTTCACGTAACTTAAATAAATCACAGGAAGGAATATAGACAAAGCAATTTTAAAAAGACAGCTTATATCTATTAAGATTGGGAAAAATCTTCTAAATGAGGATATATAATGACGCTTAAGTTCAAAAGAGAAGGAAGCTAACATTAAGGATGGTGGATTAAACAAGGAAAATGTATCAACACTGAAATGTCAATCGAATATTTAGCTTATACGTATTGTGAGGAAAATTTAATAAACATGTATATTTGAAATGGCAACCCGTATCAAATCTGCAGGAAACTACTTTTACAGCCAATATTTCTAGAATTCATCGTAGGAACTGGCTATTGTGAAGGACAAGTTACATCCAAATTGTTCTTATCTCACGTGATTGTGGGTATCCTTGTTATTTATGGAGTTTTATTTGCCGGGGAGTCTATGAGTGAGACGTTCGCTGTGGGTAAATGGACCGTGTTTACTGTTTGTGTTATCTTTGGCTTGCTGTCCATAGTAATTTTACTGATTTCAAGTTTCCGTGGAAAGAAGAATGTTACTAGCTTGAGGAGTACAAATGACAATCCTTCTATAAATTTACAGCTACTTTTCCTGTGGATATTTGGATTGGGCAACGTGATCTTTTTAGGCGTAAACATAGCTGTTAATGCAGACTGCCTGATGAAAACGACCGAAGATTTAGCTCGTAATTTATTTTTGATATCTGCTAATTTACTTTACATGCTATTTATACTGTTACAAATACGTCTTCTTACATACCACAAAGCAACACAAATGCCATCAACAGTAAACTTTCATTTTTCGATTGTCTGTATCCTAGCAGCAAACTTCTCCATATGGTATAGCTCAACTATTTATACTTTGTTTAAACATGGGAATAGAACAGAGATTCGACACAACTTCTCGTGCTTCCAAAATTCTGGTATAGAGAAAAAGTTGAGAAGAAAGATATCTGACGTTTTCATGCCACCACAGTTAGAATTCTGTATTCTTGCAGCGACGCTTCTTATATCCTTGTGCCAAAATGTGAAAAAGTTCAAAAAAGTTCGATCCACTGATGTATACACTGAGCTTACAGACGTTGTTTCTGAGAGAAGATTTAGAGCTGATTTTAAAAGACCTGATGGCGCCTACATAGTTGCTGTTATTATTGGAATTTCTCTCAATATTCCTATATTTACCTCAACTGTTCTGTTAGATTTTGTGTATGAGTGGAAAAATGAGAATGTTATCATTTTCTTAGACTTTAGTGAAATTCTATGTGCATTCAGTACATGTGTCATCGTGTACGTGTGTTGGCACAGAATCAAAGGCCATTTTCGGTATTCCATAAAACCTATTACTATACAAGAATTCATTCTGATTATAACTTCTATGGGAATAATGGCATATTTTACAATGGGATTTCTTGCAGGAATTTCTAGCTCCACCCTATCAAGGTCAACCATTGCCAGTCGTGTGTTTGGGATGATGGAAACATTTCTTCAGACATCACTTCTGATCCATTCCTCTAGATGCACCGTTCCGGGGGGCAGATCAAAATTGATCTCCGTATGCGCACTAATTCTTGTCATCACAAATCTATCTTACTGGTTTCAAAATTCTTACAATAGGAATAAAATAACAAACTCTCGATACATCGGATACACTGATTGGTTCTTTGTAGAGATAACTCTGGTGCCTCTGATGATATTTTATAGGTTTTTCTCAGCAATGAATGCATATACTTTGTACAAAAGATTCAAGTTTTCAGAATAATTTTAAAAAAAAAATGCATGGCTGTTTCTGGAACTATGGTTTATATTGCTTTATGAAAACAATGTAAAAAAGTTTTTGCAGTAAATATTTCAATACAGACATTTATAGATAATACATTTTTTGAATGTTAAAATTGATATTTTTATGTCAATAAGCAACTTACTAAAATCTGTCAATACACATGCCATTTACAGTAATTTTGGAAACATATGTAATTTTGTTGGTATTTCGTACCGGGTAATTTTGCTTTCACAGGTAAACGGTAAACTGCTAATTTTTTTTCTTTATCGTTTTTACGTCCTTTTGATAGGATTTTACTGTCCATGAGACCCCATATCGCCTGATCAATATCCGCCTATTCCATTTACATACAGAAGCATGTGTCAACTATTTCCTGTTCCCCTTATATTGTTTAATTTCTTCCTGGAGTTTTCCCAAGAACAAGAACTTGTATTAGGAGTCGCTTGTATGTTCTACGACGTCTTATTTCTTGTCTTTCTTTTTCAAAAACGAGTACATAACTTCTGAATGTCAACTAAGCAAAAGTTAAAGTCACAGTTTGGCTTATCAGGCAATGGGTACTGTAAACCAACTTTTATTTGCGTGCGAGAAATTTTCGAGAAGTTAACGAGAGCCTTTTCGTCGCCAATATATCTCTGTGGTCCTTAACGTTGTTGTGTCTATTTCAACAAATCCCATAAAGGCTTCATCGTGAACATTAATCGTCGCGAACTTCTTTACCCTGGTAAATCGCGAAATAAAGTCACCGCGAATAAAAGTTGGTTTACAGTAAATTGTGACTTTGACATTTTTTTTTATTTAGACCATTTTACAGATGGATGACTACAGACATTGTCAAAAATATTGTTTGCATTGTAAATAACTATAGATAAGATAAGCCTACTGCGTGATACCGATACCACGTATGTAGTTTAAAATTTTGAAGAAAAAAGAGAAAAGGATAGTATTGATCTCCCGCCTACCTCCAAGTCAATTTTCAAAAGTAAAATTTTCGATGAATTTTTAATAATTTTTAGATAATTATATGGATTTCCATAAAACACTACTTATTTGGGAAAATAAAGAGAGATAACTCTAAAATTTTGGTAAAACCTGTCAACAGAAAACGGAAAATATTCTTAAAACATCTTTTCCCCCGTGTCACAAAAATTACTTTTTACAGGTTATATGGAATGTTATTTCACAGATTCATTCCAAAGCTTTTTGTGTGACACGGGGGAGGGAGGGGGGGGGGGCATATGTTTATTGACAAAAAACGATAAAAATGCTTATTTTCCACCAATTTCAAAGCGATTTACCACTGAAACTTCATATTTTGATGATATATTTTTGTTTTATTTACTTGCCTAAAACATAAGAAAAGGTATATTGAACATTTAATCATATCCAATACTATTTCAAAATATGGTGATGCTTGGAACTCCGATTTCAATGGAATATATCGTCTACCCCTTTTTTTCAAGACCTGGAATTATGGATAATTTACTGTTTAGTACTGGTATTAAGACAATTTATCAACTACCATTGAACTGTTTTTTGTGTTGAACAAAGATTTAATGGCCGAATTTCTATTTATATTTAATTAAATGGTTTTAAAATGTAGGCGGGAATCAAGAGTTAGCGTGCGTATTTCTTTTATCATTCACGATATATTTGCAATTCTTAATTCAAACATTTTAAATTTATTGTTTAAAATGTCTACCAATTAGGCTATAGTATAACTTTTAATAAAAAGTTTTGACAAAAGTCCGCCATCGTTTAAACAGCCCCCAGGCTGTTTTTGAGTCTTGTGTTAGTAAAATTCTCCATTTGTTCTTTAATGTCTCTATTTTCCAGACTTGTTCATAATTCTCTTTCAGAAAAGGTCAATTTTTCTTTCCAATGTAGTGATATCTCTGTTAAAGGTTTTATAGTGTCACATGTAAGATTTTAAAATTGCACGTTTGAATTTTCAAATTCTTGAGTCTTGAATTTTCTCTTTCTTTCTCTGTTGTCTTATCTCAAGAGCTGGCAATGTTTATGTGATATCATAAATCACTTTTATTACATTGGAAACAATATATTTACTTTCTATGACATTCATAACGAATTTCTTCATTTTCTGTTCCTGAGAGGAGTTATATGATTTCTTTATTCAGGATATCCCTTAGAGAAAGGAGTGCATTTCCTGACATGGTAGTAGGTAGGGATTAAGAATTTTCCGATAGATTTTTCCCAGTAATCGCAGAATCTCAGATTTTCACTAAGAGAGATCAAATATCCAACTTTAACCTTCACTTTAACACTTCACTTTAACCTTGACCCCGGAGTTTGTCCTACCTTTAAAAATGTTACCCTTGGTTTGACATACTGTTTACAAACTTTAACCTTGGCCATAACTTTTGAACGGTAAGGGCCAGCACTTTCACACTTCCCATATGTAATCTTTGAGACAAGGCCTTTCTTTAGAAACCAACAACCTTCGGCCCTTTGACCTTGACCCCAGAGTTTGTCCTACCTTTAAAAATGTTAACTTTGGTCATAACCCTTGAACAGGTGGGGTTAGGGGTTTATATTTTACATTTGTATTTCATGTGAAAAGGGCTTAATTTAGGTACCAACAAATTTGATCTGCATTTGAGAAAGCTTAACTTTCGCTACATGTATGTTGCAATACGGAGGATTCAGTGTTTCACAAACACATCTTGTTTAATATATAAACTGTTTAATGAATATCAATATCAAAATTATTATAGACATGTCAGGTTGCTTTATAATAAATTCTAGTTCTTGTGTCTGATCATCATCATGGTTTTTTGTAACGCTTCTTCATTACGTTTCCAGTGATACAATACCGGATATTTGCCACCAAACACACCAGATTGTCCGTACAGCCCGTTCAGGTTTGAGTAGTGACAGCTGTGGTACCACCAGGCTCCGTGATATTTTGTGGCACAGTTATGACCACTACTGTCATTGTCTTGGTCCTTTGTGCTCAATTTCATACCATTGTGAACGGAAGTTAAACTGTCACCTGAAACAGAATCTCGATAATAAAGAAATAACATCATGAACATCAATGATATGTACTGTATCTTTGTCTAGTAATACTTTCCTAGATATTTTAGAATTCTAAGCAATAAAAAAAATGACCATTGTTGAAAATCATTTTACCTGGACAGTGTATATAGCAATGTCTTTTAATCTTTATTCATTTTATTGATTATGTTTGTTATGTAAAAATGTGTCTTGTATACCGGTATATGGATAAAATATACTTCTTTTTTAAATAAGTTTATTTTTAAAAAATGGAATCACTGTCTAGTCTGTTGGATTTTAAAGGTTATTTACGACACTGTTTAGGCATAGTGCATACAAAGCACAACACTATTATATAAATAGTGCTTGGTATGTAAATTAAGTTATCCGAATAAAATTTAGAACATAAAACTAAATCTATTTTTTTAAAAAAAGTTCTACCCGCTGTTCCTGAATAGCCAGACACACTTAATCTGTATTTACTGCCTTCGCTCCTGACATAAAATGTTTTGTACTGAGCGAATGCTTTGTCACCATTAAATCTTTGTAGCTCAACCCGGAGTTCTTGGTCCTTGTTCTTTGTCAACTCATAGATTACGTCATTTCCTTTAAAAGAAATTTTATAAGTCTTAAATTGTCCTATTGTAGAATGTTTCTTATCATTTGATTATATTATATAAAATCGAAACAGTTTTTTAAAGAACGTAGTCAACAAGAAATATCCCTTACTCTTAATTTTTTTTTTTATTTTCAAATTGTTTTTGAAGTAAATATGAATTTTACAATTACTTTTTTCTTCTTTTGTGCGGATTTTAAGTACATCTAAGGGTATATAAAGAGGTTTATGTAAAACTTATGAGGTACATGTATAACTAAATTATAAAACGATATATTCTTATTCTAATGATGTGGTAATATTGTTTTATTTCATGTTTATTTTATTCCTACACCTTACTTTAGCTGATTCATGAAAAACTAAAAAAAAACAACGAATTTTAAGGACAACAAATAATCTACCTACTCTAAGAAATCAGTGGAACAGAGATCAAATGTTACATCTGATTGAAAAGAACGTATCAAGGCTTAAAAGATCTGTAAAAAAAAATTGCATTTAATAATAAGGAAATTATATCTTATTTATATGCTTCTTAAGAAATGTATGTACAAGGTTATTTATATGATCTAAATGATACATACAGGAAATACATTTTCATTTGATATGTGAAAATTTTCTTTTTCAACATAGAATGTGAGACTTGATATTTGGTTTACATTTTGGGTGACCTACGTCTCTTGTTTTAAATTATTTAAAATAAAAATTCGGAAAACTTGTAAAATAGAATTTACATGATTAAAATGTCGAAATTTATCAAATCTGACACGTTGTCATTTTAAGAAATGCTCACTCCCCCATAGTACCTGATCCCACCTCTGGTGTTTAAGAGGTCCATGTTTGCTCTGCTTCTATTTTGTTTTGTTTAAAAGACGTTTGAGCTCGAATACTTTTCGTTATCTCCAGATATCTCATCTAAATTACACCACCATATATAGAATATAAAGCAGTATAATATACCCGAGGTTTCTGCTTTACAGCAGTTGATATTTATGTGAAGATTAGTGACAGCGGTTTGGTCAGGCTATTCCTTGAGAAATCTATTATTGTATTAATTTTAATGCCGTTCTACTATATGCATATTTTGAATAAAACATTAATTGAAAATTTTAATTATGCAAGCTTACAAAACAAAACTTAACGTGGATGTGGTTTGATTTTTCAAACATTCATATCTTATGTATATATACTTTTAGATAGAAGAAGATAATGAAAATAATCACCTGGGAGGATAAGCACGATGGCAAATACTAGTGAACCAATCCAAGAGCAACGTTCCGGTAGACAAAAGTCCAGAAACAAAGTTTGAATGGAAAAATACTGAGAAAGCAAATCTCATCTCCGCGAACTGCCTTTTTCTAATATACGACATACAGTGTTCCAAGAGATACACATCATGGCAATAAGACAGAACTTCATCAAATACGTGCAAAGTTAAAGGAGACGGAAATAAGGTAAACAGAGGCAGTTAACATCATTATTGACCAGGAAGAAAAACTTGACCAACAAGTAACAAAGCACCTGCGTGAATCATCGAATAACAACACTTCTGAGGATAAATTAACTATTTCAAAGTTGCAGCAAGAAGTACAGACGCTACGGCTTGAAAAATTATTTCACAAACAATAACTAGATTCGATAAGTGCTCGCGTCGAAGAAGAATGGAGAGAAAGCAGAGCGAAACGTCAGGAAGGGAACAACACTGTTCTAACCCTGAAAACCGAAAATATTCATCTTTTGAACATATAGGGATTGTATTTACAACGAATTCGCGAACGTAAAAATGAGACTTATAATGATCGTTCAATCAAAATCCCAAATTACGCACAAAATCTACAAAATATTCATTTCCAACATCATATTTATTCAAGTGAACAGACATCTTGTGCACCGATGCAAACACGAGGTCGTGTGTTACTGGGGCAAGGGGGTATTGTCACAGATGAAAATGTATCATCAAACATTTTAACAATTACTTTGGATGTTTTCAATATAAAATTCTGCATCTCTGTTATTAATTTAGTGAGTTGTCATAATTGTTTCAATCTCTCTAATGTATCTATCATTGGATGTTAAATTATCTTATTTAGCCATATGTAATATGACCAGATGGACTGTGCTTTGTGTGACTAAAGTTTTGTTTATTTAAATCATGTTCTTTAACTCTACTTGTAAATCAAATAACTCATGTGATATGTTACTCAAAATTATCAATTATCAATCTTGTCTATAAATACAAATTTTTGTTAACATTCAGGAAGTCGGAATCGGTATGCGCTTGTGCTTGATACTGTCCGACCCAACGAGTAATAAAGGTCTGCAAATCGTAAGGTGTTTTCTATAGTCCACCATAGTGGCTTTACAACAAGCACACGCATCTAAAGCGTGTGTGTGATAAGTGGTGGTAAATCCGGGTATCGATATCAATTCCGGTACCTCTTACAGGCAAGCGAGTTCTACCATTTGATTCCCCTAACTTCTACGAGATTTCCCCAAATTCAGAAAAGCAACTATCATTTCGTACATGCCGATATAAATCATAGCCTTGGACCACAACGGAGACCTGCGGACTATTACTTTTAACGTCAACATCCAGTTGGTGGCCGATGTGGAATTGTCCATGGACCCAGCTGCCGTTCTCAAATGGAGAAATGTTACCGATGTTGGCGTCTAGTATGCAAGAATATGCAGGGCTGTCCTGTCCTCCCCTAGACTTAAGATAAACACTATGGCAGAACTTCATCAAATACGTGCAAAGTTAAAAGAGATGGAAATAAGGTATACTTAGGCAGTTAACATCATTATCAACCAGGAAGAAAAACTTGACCAACAAGTAACACAAGGCCTGCCTGAAGCTTCTCTGTAAGTTGTTTGTTAATTCGAACAAGTAAAGCATTTCTGTAATCCAAACGGGATGTAACTAATGAATTAACTAGCGTTTTGCATGCATCTTAGTAATGTAGTTCCTAATAAGTCCAATGTTTTCTCAGATTGAAATAACATGATTTAGATAGTGCATTTCAGTGTTTTTCCATTGTTAACGACATATCAAAAACTTTATATTTTTTAAAACTTTTAATTATACACATCTTAAAGATACACCATATAATTTAAATGTGACATAAACTTATCTTACCAATCCAGTAGTTGTTTTGTGGATCTCCAAATCCTTGTTTATATTCTGACCACGTCCTGTAAAAATCTATAGAATTGTCCTGCCTTCTTTGTATGATCTGAAACATTAAAGAAGGTTTATCTTCGATTTACTTTGTTATGAAGAAGGTTTCATTTACAAACTCGCACATGCTTCTTTTAGTAAGATGCAAGTCTCTTTATAATTCTAAAGAAATTAGTTTTGTCTACAAAGAACTTGTAACTGTTAGCTGCTTACTTACTGTCCAACCCCCTCTTTGTCTTGTCATGTCACAGCACACTTTTTTCTTTCGTATTCCATCCGGATAAATTGTGTATACACCATCCTTTCCTTTCCGACCTGGATTTTTCTTTAGTATAGTTGCACAATTTTTGTACCTATTAACTAAAGAGAATAAGGCAGTCTATGTACTGTACGTTACATATATATGCAATACAAATTTTAAAAATCTATTTGAAAATAAGCATCGTCTTAAGCCACGGTCCGGCGTCTGCATATATCTCTCTCTCTTCTACCCGTGGCTGCTTGATCACAAAAAGTGTCGTAATCTTGAATATTTACGCCCCTCATATTGACTCAATGACAATTTTTGTTTCCATCGCAATTGAAATCAACAATTTACATCAGCAGTATACAAGAAATATTTCTTGCACTGCGATTGGGTATTGAAAGGTCGCATCAAATCTCATTATCTGACTATGCTTTACTCGCATTGGTCAATATTTTAATTAGATACAAAATATCCTTCTCTCGTTCAACCACGGCCAAAATGTTAGAGGATTGTACATTTTCGTCGTGGTTTGCGACGATGGAAAATAAGATGAGAATATAACTTTTTTTTTAAGTTCTGAAATTATTAAGAACGGGTTCATGTCTTGCAAAAAATGATTTTTGCGGAAGGAATTTTCAGAAAAAAAAAAATTAAAAAAATCATTCTATTATCAAATCATTTATCATGATTAATGGTACAAGGACTAATTTCTCATTACAATTTACCATCTTGAAATCCACCTTTGGTTAATTTTGACACATTATATGCAGAGACGACATCCACTCTGAAGGAAACGGGATGTACAGCCTTCACATTGGATCCAGTCAGTTTCCAAAACCAGCGAGAACTTTGAAGGCACTGATAAAGTTTTGCTGCAAATTTTGCAAAAAAAAAAAATCATAATAATAATTAAAAAAAATAGATACATAAATAAATACAGCTTTTAAAAAAAATGAGTTATATTTTCTAAGAATGATGAAACAATTGAATGTATTTTAATTTGACTAACATCTTTTAAAAATATTTTATTTCTTTATAGTTACATGAACATGAAGATAATCATTGCTTATTTTATTAAATAATGAATAATAACGATAATAAGTGATTAATAGTTATTCACTTATTACGAAGGTTAATATACCCTTTTATCAGAGAACATAAACTAGATATGGAATTTGCTCATATCCTTCAGAACAATAATTACTTCTTTTATTAATCTGAAAATTGTTTAGGATCTGGACTGTTGACATATCATTTTCTTCGTAAAATAAATCATCGGAGTTACGCATTTTTATCATGATAGACAAGATACATTGCGCATAACAGTCTTTCCGAAATTCATACCCCCTCCCCTTTCTTAGATCATTTGATTTTCTAAAACTAATTCTGAAAACTTTTAAAGATTTGAAATAGATCAAGCAGACACAGTCTTAAAATTTCGAAAAAAGAAAATCAACAAAAATGTTCCGACACAAACTGGAAAAGGAGAATTTCCGCCCTACCCTTTTGTCGCAAAGTTATTTTGTATGGAATGCCATATACGACAGCCAACTGCTGACTGCTTACTGCCAACTGTCAGCTGCTTACTGCCAACTGCCACACATATTTGAATAAATTTTATTTTCATATTGATATTTATGTAAATTTGAAAGAAAAAAAAAGGCGCGAATCTATAGGACATTTTTTCCAAGGGGGGTAACTCTGGTAAAAAAAAAATCCAACCCAGAAATTTCTTGACAAGAAAAAAATACGTAAATACCTTTCCTAAATGTGAAAATTTATTTCGGCCGGGGAGAGGGGGTTCTTATGCGTCATACCTTCATGGGTATGACATTTTTCATAGCAACTTAACACGAATCCACATATTAAATAACTTTAGCAGGGGAGGGGGGCTGCCCCCCCCCCCCACTTTTCCCCCCAACATTACCGTTACTGTATATTGAAAGGATGGTTGCCCCACCCCACTTCTTACCATAGTATAATGATATCAAGGATATGTAGTATTGTGTGGAAAAAAAATGTAAGTGAAAGGTAGTTGGCCTTAAAATAAAGTTAGCAACCCCCCCCCCCCCACACGAAATAGGATTTTCGAGTTTGGGCTATTTCCTTTTTTTTTGGCTGGTCAACTTTTTCAGGTAAGTAAAAAAAGTTTTCTATGGTTGCCCCCCCCCCTTTCAAAAACGATGCTACGTGCCTGCATTATAACACACAGAGATATACATCTTTAATTTGAGGAAATTTTTAACTATAGAATATAATGGAAAACGGAAATTTATTTTCAAAACATCTTTCTCTGCGAAACGACAAATCTTTTTTATTATTATTCTCTCTTCAAAGGTTTTGTTGTCTCCGGGGGAAGGGGGGGGGGGCTTCTTTAAAGATTAAAAGCAGAAATAGTCATTTTATTACCTATTTCAAATGGGAAAACAAATTAAAAAAAATTAACAATGTACTTTATCAACCGCATATTTTGAATATACATAAGATAAAACATATTGATCATTTCATTCAATTCAATTTTACCGGGGTGACCCCCTTGGAAAAAATGTCCTGGATCCGTGCCTTTTTCCCCTTTTTTGTGAAATTCATATGAATATCAATACAAATATACAATTTATTCAAATATGTGTGGCAGTTGGCAGTAAGCAGCTGACAGTTGGCAGTAAGCAGTCAGCAGTTGGCAGTAAGCAGTTGGCTGTCGTATATGGCATTCCATAATTTTGTTATTTTTTTTTTCTCATTTACAAATAGTTCAATACTTCAAAAATATGGTTAGTTAGACCCATGAATCGCTTTTATCAATTTTATAAATATACATATCCAGATTCACAGAGTTTTATGAAACAAAAAGCAAGCACAATCAGGATATAATACTGTATGAAAATGCCATGCGTGTTTTAACCCTGCAAAATTTTAAAGGATGTATTTCCTTTCTGAAAACGTTCGTTCTATTTTCACAAACTAAATTCTAAAATTTAAACTCGATGCGTAAAATTTCGGACCTACCTTATAGTATGTAATAAAGATGTTGTTAAAACAAATATTGCAGAATTGTAGAATAAATACCTCTGTAAGACGGAGGAACAGTGTCGCCATTCGAGTTAACAGATATAAGGGCAACACACAAGATTATCTTGATTACAGACTTCATATTGTTCTATACACGGTACAACCATAAACTACCTTTATATGTAAGTTATTAATGCAATCTCATCATTATTGTGAAAGTTGATACCTTATTCTTGCAAGAAAAATTGATTCTTTGACCAATCCAATGCACCCTACAATTATATATACTGACACGCAAAAGAAACGCAACATCCTACTTTAGGGGGAAACAATTATGTAAAGTAAAAAAGATTGTTTTTTAAAATTATGGATATCTTCACTTTGGTTAACTTCGGTAATTTACGGTTGAACGATACCCATACCATAACCGGAAGTCGATTTTGAGTCTGCTTAAGAGAAATGAAACATTGCATGTTTAACAAAACATTTGGCAATATTATGGAGTTTTAAGGGTTTTAACTGTTCATCGTAAGTAATGCAGCAATATTTCAAAAAATAAACTCTCCTTTCGTTTCCCGTAACGATGCTAAGGCTTCTTGAAAATGGCTTAAGTATGCATTTCCATTGCTCTAGCTGGAAAATTTCAATGTAAAGGTGATGGAGAAGTGCTGATGCAAAAATTCACAACAATACGCCTCAAAAGGGTCTTACGTATCATATTCATTAAGGACAGTCCTTGTACCGGAAGTCCAGGGGTGGCTACATTGCTCTAAGTTAGAGAAAATTCGACCTAATCATCTGAAAAACAGGCATTTAAAATTGGCAAAAAATAATTTCTTCGTTCAGATCTCGATATTGATGAACCTATTGTATCGTAGAAATTAAGCTTCAATATTGTTGTTTAGGGCAGTCTTGCACGTTTAACTTGAATGGCTGGGAGGGTGGGTTTTAACAGTCATGTGTTACTTAGTAAAGTAAAAAGATAAACATTTAACATTTTTATCAAATCTTTGATGTTGTGAAAAGTGAGTTTAGTCTTACTGTATTCATTTTTGACAAATCATAAGATAAAAAAATAAAACGTTTGTAGATTACTGCTTGTTGCGTTTCTTTTGCGTGTCAGTATATATTAGTAAAAAGGTTTTAATGCCTTCTTAAATTAAATTTACTTTAAACTACGATTGTTGTTAAAGTCGCTTAATCCGAAACAGGCACATATTATCTTACACAATAAAAGAACGTCATTACATAGATAAGATATAAAAATAAATTATAAGATTAATTTAATAGTTTATTACAACATCCGTAC